TATATTCTTAATGTTATAACAAAAAAACATAAAAAGTTAATAATAAAAGACTTTTAAGAGTAAAATGTGCTTAAAATTAATTTATGTCATAGGAATTTCCCCCGAGATATCTAAGTGTATAAAAGATTTTCAAAATAAAGCTTTTTAACAGACAATTTACTTTTCAAAAATTCATATAAATAGATAATATTTTATTGGATATTTTTAAATTTATTTTTTAAACTTAAATATTGTATGCAATTTATTATTTACGGATTAGATTACAGATTAATATCCATTTACTAATTACACATTTCTCAAAATAAATTCAATTTAAATTCTCATCCAATTTAATAAAAAAGCAAATGATATAACAAACGAAACACTCGAGCCGTAAATGCATTTCATATATCAATATAATAATGGTATCGATCGGCGAGTGAGCGAAACCTTCAGCGCTTTTGAAGCGTGTATTGCATTCATATTGTATTTATACTGTATATACATTCGCCGACATATTCAGTTATCTCATGCACAGAATATTCTGTATATTCTGTATATATTTTGAAACTAAATTTGGGATTATTTGTAAACAGAATATTTTTGGCGGCGAATAACCAAATGGCAAATCTCTGGTGTAATTTATTTACAACTCACGCCTAAAATATGATCCATACATACAATAAGAGCTGATAATGGCCTGAATTTAATAGTCTTAAAAGTATGTCAACGCTTAGGTTTGTGACCATAACGGCTGCGGCGACGGCTGCTTATAATAGAAACGACCATAACGTCAGACATATCTATATGTAAGTCATACACAGTATTATTATCATTAAATATAATATATATTCTCACTTTCTATACCCCCAGAGTGTTGAATAATTTTTAAACATTGCCATACATTATTTAATAATGCATTATTTGTTTAAACATTAAATATTTTATGAAAATTTTTAAACAGAGAGATAAAAGAAAATGATTGTATAGATGAAGCATATTTGTAAGGCACACGTACTGTATATATAAGGCTTATTAATAGGACTGGTATTTAACATTTATTAATATATTAATTAACTCTAAAGGGTAAAAGGCTATCCAGTATTTATGCACAGTATATGAATTTATCATGTATTTAATCCATAGATTATTATCTCAGCAATTCTACGTGATAATTAAAAAAAAATGCCCAATTTTATTATAAAACAAACTGTTATTTAACTGTCAAAATAATTTTAGTTATCAGAATATTCTGTTAAAGAATAATATTATTCTTAAACAATTCATAAATAATTGATTTGTATTTGTCTGGTATAAAACAGATCACGATCAGCCCATCGTAATAATCATCAGTTATATCAATACGATTGCAAATCCAATTGGAGATTATATATGAAAATAACAATTATATTTATATCAATCCTATTTTTGTTAATCTATCCGTTTACTAAAAACATTGGCATATTTTGCGCACTTTTACTCATTATATTCATTATAATATCGATATATTTTCATTGGAAACGTATGTCTCATAATTTAGATAACATTAACAGACAATCAGACATCCATTTAAATGTTAATACCATATCCACTGATATTACTAATGGTAGTGAGAATAATAATAATAATAATAATAACAGTAATAATAATAATAATAATTTAAATTTAACTGAAATACGGCCGCAAACAGAAGATACAATATCGGCGCAAGATTTGCCCCCGAAATACATTGAATGCATGTATGAATCGCCTCCGAGTTATTCACAAGCCGTGCATAAGTTAGACATTTGATTGTCATTTGCTTAGGAAATAATGTTATCAAAAATGCAAATGCAATTCAGTCCTCGTATAGAAAAACTAAAGATAATGTGATTTATATTTTAAATGAATAGCATATGGGTTGCAAAATATTTTATCATAATTCAATTTGATATGTTGTTTGTGTTTTTTGTTCTGTGACTAAATAGCATAATATTTTATGTATTTTTTATTAAGGGAATTGTGCCTGATATATATATTTTGAATTTACAGTGTTATTTTTTATATGCAGTATTAATACTTGAATTATTTTGTAATTGTAATAATTTATAGCGAAATACTATGATATATGAAATAAAATGTTAAATGATATACAAGTGAAGCATATATTTATTTTTAGCCCCAAATTTCACGGCTAAGGGAAATGATATATAAGAATATAATGTAAATCAGGAGAAAATGTAAATAATTGCTGGGAATCGTCGCTCGCATACAAACATGTGATCTAACGTCTGGTGAAGGCATTTATGGCACAGAATCTATCGATCGGAGCCGACGACGACAACGCCTCTCTTTCTCCCCTTTCAGATGTTTTTATCGCACATTTATATTGTATTTATTACTTGTAATATTCTTATGTACAGAATATATACAAAATAAATATATATATTGATCAACAATTTATAGATATATTATATACAGAATATTCTGTGCATTGTTTGTCGCTGTTGTGCACAACAAAATCATAGACTTTTAAGTAATTGAGTTGTATTTTTGTTGTGTCTCTAATATGTCGACTCTTATTGTGATTAATGGGCTCTAAATTAATGTAATATAAAATACAGAGTGAGAGAGACAGTGATGTCGACCATCAGAATGATGTCCATAACGGCTGCGGTCGCACAGAGAGAGCATCGGATCAATAGCCGTCGTCGTCGACAAACGTATGCCATAAACATAACAAACATTATCTTAAAACTCATATTATTTTATGTTTTGATCATTCATTTTGTTTTTTAAAGATATTTCAAATATATTAGTCGAGAGATATCTCTAACGGCTAAACAAAATGCGAAATTCTTGTGAGAAATATGTAATACATTGTGTTTATGGCATTGAAATGTTGATAAAAGCCATACTTATGGAAATGAAAGGTCATTTAGTGTACAACCGATTGCATGCAATCGATGTAATTGTAGTTTATATTAATAGCTCTCAACAGACGTATCGAAAGATAATTATAGAAAGTGATTAACAAATTGTGTGTATTTTATGGAGGGGTTAGTAGTGGTGGGGAAGGGATATGACCTGATTTGCAGGTACAGTAGGAGTGGGGGTCTGAATGGCTTGCATTGAATGCAATAATAAATGAAACTCGACTGTAATAACGTTATCCATTTACCATAATTATTGTGATTATTGTTTATTATTGCATAAAATTTAATGATTTATTATATCTTTTATGTGATTAATAGAGGCGACGATCAATCGATGGACAATTTGCACACGTTTTGCGATGAATGCAAAAATTTGTGTGCATTATATCTGAAAGTGTCGGTTATATTCCTGATAATGATTCCCACACTTTTCATCGCCGCCTCGACCGGCAATATAATCGTTGTCTTTGTTGTCTTCGCTGTCATTGTCTTTATTATATGGATATGTCTTTATTGGCGGCGAATGTTTCAGACTTTAGACGATATCAATCGGCAATCGACTGATAATTCCGATACAAGTGTTAACATAAGAGCCGATAATAACGTCAATTCCCCTCATGTGAGACACCAAAGGGATGTCTCATTCAATTCGGTCAATGATTTGCCGCCGAAGTATGAGTTTCCGCCTAAATATGAACACATCTACACAATAGACGTCTGATTGTCATTGAAAAACAACTGTATTATTACAACAATGAATAGGAATTTGGATGAAAAACATATTTCCATTACAAGAATATATTACCCAAACATTTCACTTGATATTTATACAAGAATTTGTATCACAAATAAAAAATCTATATATGTTTTTGATATAACTATCTATATATTTGCGGTAATTTTGTTGACACCATGTAATCGAGCTATTATTACAAATGATAAGTCAAACGATGCCTTAAATAATAGGTTTACAAATAAATGTAATGAAAAACTGAAAATTCTGAGTAATTTTGAGTTAATTTAAAAACGCAAAGTGTTTTTCGTGTATTGAATTCCTAGTAGTTTTTTATACAGTATTTTATTTTAGGTTTTTTTGCTGTAATTTTGTCAAAATATAAGATAAACTTATAAATTGGTTTTGAAGTTATTTTTGTGAATAATCAATACAAGTAAACTAGAGATATATTTTGTTTGCTATTTACATACATTAAGATTCTCTCTCTCTCTCTCTCTCTCTCTCTCTCTCTCTAAGCAATTTAATTTCACGTTAAATCACATAAGAAAACACAAAGGCATTAGTGATCGGATGAGTTAGAGTAGAGAAGTTAGAGTAGACTTATTATACTGTATACTGTACTATACTATATATGATATAAATATCGGGATAAATAATTTACTGTAATTATAAGTTAATGTCATAACAAATTGTTTTTATTCTTCTTAATGGTCTAAACAGCAAAAAACATGAGAAAATAGTTTTCTTAATGTTTAAGTATTTTTGTTTTGTGTATTGTATATGAGTTGCGGTTCATTTGGTATTGAATTCAAGAATCGCTTTTAGTTATTAATTAGAGAGTGAGTCCCATATTAATTGTATGGCAATCGACTTTTAGTGTTGATTTCTTACATTTTATGGCACGGAGTTTGACATTATTTTTTCATTTTAAGGCAAACTTTTTTGTTTGCTATCGATTATTAAAAATTTACTGCCATTTCAAGCATACCATTCAAAATTGCAAAAGACATTCACATAATATTGATGAAGTCATAATACAGATGAGAGAGAGAGAGAGAGAGAGAGAGAGAGAGAGAGATACAGATGAGAAAATCATAGATTATGTAAACAATTTTTGATATACTTATTCGTTACACATGTTGTGAAACACACCCACTATTCCTCCACTATTTTGTCTGTGCATTGAGTTTATCGATCGATGCTTTCAAAAACTGGTCTCCCATTTCTCGCTGTGTTATATATACTGTATATTTGTGTTGTGTTTATATATATATTTCTGACATTTTTTCCGTACAGAATATTCTGTACTCAAAAATATATTTCCCATTTGACAACAAAACACAACAACAATTAATTATTTTCTTTGTATACATTACTCTTTTATTTCGTATTATTATATATAAATGAACTGAAAGTTAATTTTTTATAATTGATTTGTTTTTTATTGACTCTAATCTTTTTGTATACAACATAATGTATTTGTGATTAATATTTTGTATATAATAATAAATTGTGTGACAAATGATCCGATTTGTGTCCTTAGCGGCTGCTGTGGCCCAGTATAGAACCAACCAAAATGTCTACCCCGTTATCATGTAAGTTAGCATCATGGACAATCTATTGGCAATTTGTTAAACCCTTCCACTTCTCGTGGCATTTTGAATTGTAATTTGTGTGTTATTTAGCAATAAGTGACACTCCATTGCATTTCAATTTGCATTGTGTTAAATGTTTTTAAAATACAGATTCTGTTTACATATGATAACAATGTGTGAATATTTTATTTTTAGTCACAAAAGAATTTTCACGGAATTGTATCAAATATTTACATTTTACAAAATATTTTATCATCTCTGGTGTAAATTTATACCTAATATTTTTAATTTAACACAACATTTGCACTCAATTTGTATTTAATACTTATTTTTGTAGCAGATTATTTTTGAAACAAACATTTATTTTAACATATTTTTTAATTGTATTAATTTAATTAACTAAATCACTGATTATTCTTATCGTTAATATCATAGGTACCACTCGTCGATGTCGATCGACTCAAACGGCTATAACAATAATTGCAAAGACAATTGGATGCTATATATCAGTACAATAGTTATATTCATAATATTGATGATACTATCGGTAGTGCCACTCAACTCCCGATTAGGCATATTTCTAGGCGTTTTGATAATTATATTCTTAATTATACCGATTTATACTCATTGGAAACGATTACACGATCTCAAAGAGATGAGCCAAAGACAATCGACGACCGCCAACAGCGCCCGCCGCCAGTCCTCTTCCTCCTCGCCAAACGGTTCCGCCGATAGTCCCGTCGATCACACCATTCATAGACACCCAAACACTACCGTCACAGGTGTTGGGGAACTGCAGCCCCCGCCGGGCGCCCCGGGCTCTGGTGGGGGCTCTATATACTCGATGAACTCCATCAACGATTTGCCCCCCAAATACGAACTGCCGCCCAGTTATTCGCAGACCATATACACCATCGATGTCTGATATTATCTTATATTTATTTTCAAGAATCTGAAGACTAAACATAAAAATTAGCGGAAAGACATGCTTTCGGACATTGATTTGATATTAAGACACAAAATGTGTTATAATTTGTTGGATTAAATTGTGTGGTATTAGCAGTTTATACATGAAAATAACCAAACAAATCATTTAGTGATCGATGCAATCCGCGTGTCATCGATGGTATATGTAGTGGTGATGGAGAGACATAAGACGGCACTGTTGGGCTGACACACACTCCAGATATCGACTGACAGCACCCGGAATGACGGCAACGACACAAACATACATAATATACACGACATGACGACAACATGTATTGAACGCCACTTTTATCGGCGTTTCGTCAACGATGAAGAAGACGACAGGAATTTGTAGTTTTTCCTCATTTCTTATGACATTTCTTCTCAAATGTTGTGACAAAACAGATGATTATTTTCTTATCGATTATACAATACACTTACACATCGAGTTTAATTGAGTTTATTATAAATTTAGGCAATATATAAACAGTGTTTTCTGTTAATTGTATTTAAATGTATTTATAATTGTATATATGGTGTGAATGAATGGCAGACAAACACGGGTTTGATTGAATGGGCTGTGCCTTTGACTGAAACACATGCATACATAGTCTGGGCATTTAAATTGTTATAATCAGTGCCTATAAATGTAAGTAAAAACACCCGGTTTTGTAAATTATATATTTGTCAAAAGTTGTAATGAATTTAAAAGTATATTAAAATTTTATATATAATTGTATTATAACAATAACTTTACTGCCAATAACAGAATCCTCCACTTTTTTAGCCCATAATTTTAATCATAGCATTAACGATGATTTCACTGAACATATGGTCTACAAAAGTAGACGAAAAATGTTTTGCTTTATAAATCATAATATTAGCGATAATTGTGTCATGAATATCATATACTGTATATCACTGGATTATAGTACAACTTATACTGTACAGTATATCTAATATAATATGTATGTATCGCATGTACCCAAGTTGGGTAATAGTCAATTCGCACTGTTACTTACAAGCAAGCTAACTAGACTTAAGCACAGTGCGAACACCTCAGTCACTTGACTTATCGGAGCAAGCGAGGGACCTTTCTTACGTTAGTCAGCTTTCTTA